TGCCATTGACTCAATGCTGCCTCACAGTGACCCTAATGGACAGGGTAGAACTGCCCCTGTGAGTTTCTGAGACAGTAACTCTTTATGAGAGTAGAAAGCCCCATCGTTCTCCCATGGAGCTGTTTGGGGGCCTTGACCTGCTATTGGTTTCAAACTGCCTACCTGAGGATCTGAACCCAGCATGTTACACTTCACTCAGGAGTTAGACTTGGGCTGAATTGGAAGCATCTTGCAATCCAGTACATACATGTTTACTCTCAACACTGTATTTCAGACACTGGATACAGTAATGAACAAGACAGACAAAAGTTCAATTCTCGCAAAGCCTCTATTGCAAAACACACTAATCCATAAATTAATTTTTTAAGTCAAGAAAATGATCAGATTGTGTTAAGTCCCTTTCAGGGAACGGAAATAAGCTGCTGTCGTGCAGAATGAGTGGGTGGCTCCTTCCGATGCTCAGGTAGGTCTTTCTAGAACCAAGATCGGAATGAACTAATCTTGGGTTCTTTAGTGGCCAGTAGAGCCTGCCAGGTAGAGGGAGCACTTTGTATTGAGGGCCTAAAACTAGAATGTTTGGTAATTTCCACAGAAAGAAGGCTAGTGGGTCTGGATTTCAGTGGTAACATGGAAGAAAGATGAGCCCTGGTGGCAAAATGAGTTAGAACTGGGCACCTCACTGAAAGGTCGCTGATTTGAACCGCAGCACAGCTCCTCTGCAGGAGAAAGAGCAGTCCGCTTCTCATGGGGCAGTTCCACTCCATCCGAGAGGGATTCTGTGAATCAAATTCAACTCCTAGGTGGTGGGAAGAGGTAGGTGAATGAAGAGAAGCAAGAAAAGTGAGAGAAGTCAGGTCAACTTGAGCTTGGGAAGCCAGGATAGGAAGAGCCTGCTCTGTGATTTGGGAGCCACTAAAGAGTTTTATGCCAAGACCGTTCTTACCCGCGTTATCTTTCAGGAAGATCACTCTAGCTAATGTGTCACCAGTGCATTACAGAGCGGCATGGAGACCAATTCGGGGGCAATTTCACGGGCCCACTTGCCATGATGATGATGGCTTGGACTATGTGGCAATGGAGATGGAGAGGAGTGAAGGGCCTTGGGTCATGTGGGGGATATATAGTGGAGAGGTGCTTGCATTGCAGCATGAGAGGAAGAGGAAAATTAAGGAGAATTCTAGATTTGTATATTTAGCCACTGGGGAGATGGAGGTGCCGTTTACAATGGTGAGGGAGCCCCAGGGAAGGGACATGTGGGCTTGGGCCAGGGAGAGAGCTGATGCTTTCCCTGGATGAATTTGAAACACTTTTTTTTTTCTCAACAAAGACTTTTTAAATATCTCTCAGCCATTTTTGTCTTTCATGGTGGGAATATCACAAGAACCAATCAAATCACTTGCTGTCAGTGTCTGAGTTTACATTCTACTAGAGGGTTTAACAACAACAAAACCGGTAAACTGTATAGTGTGTAAATGGCAGCAAGTGTTATGGAGTGGAATAAAATTGGGAAAAGGAAGCTGAGATACCAATCTATAATCAATAAAGTGGTCAGAACTGGGAAGTCTGCACTGACCCAGCAACATAAGGCAGGAAGAGAAGAAAGTAAACCTTCCAGAGAGCGATCTGGTGGGGAAACCTTTGGGCACCCAGGTGGAGGTATCCAGCAGAGAGTGAGATATACAACTGGCTTCTAAGAATGAGCCAGAGCTGAAGACAGAGATCGGAGAGTCACATAGGTCGTGAGATGGGCCTACAAAAGATCTCTGAGAAAAGAGGGTGTAAGTCAGTGGTTCTCAATCTTCCTAATACCGTGACCCTTTAATACAGTTCCTCAGGTTGTGGTGACCCCCAACCATAAGATCATTTTTGTTGCTGCTTCATCACTGTCATTTTGCTACTGTTATGAATCAGGTGACCCCTGTGAAAGGGCCATTCGACCTCAAAGGGGTCACGACCCACGGGCTGAGAGCCACAGTGTAGGTGGAGGAGCCGGCAGCCTCTACTGCCCTCCAACACTTTGGGTTGAATGGAAGAGCGGACTGTAGCCATAGAGACAAAGGACAGCCTTTGAAGTAAGAGGTAAATGTGTTTTAAAAATATGATGAACAAAAAGCACATCAGTAACAATCAAAGTGGGTGGGGAAAGCCCCCATGAGGCATTTCAAAACAGAATGGTCAGCCAGCTGCGCTGGATGTTGCTGAGACCAGGACAGAGATGAGGTGGCTTGATTTGGCAACGTGACCTGGACAAGATCAGGGTCGGAGGGGAGACGGGGACAGGGCAGTGGAACGAGCAGCAGGGGAACCCTAGAATTCCAAGAGCGAAGTCCTTGAGAAAGGCAGAGCGGTGGTATTCAGATCACAAGGGGAGGATGCTGGTGTTTTGAAAGCAACAAGAGAAAGCTAGCTAAAGTCGCAGGCGGGGCGGTATCGGTGCAGGTGCAGGTCAGGTCGTAGATTTATTTATTTAAAACATTTTATTAGGGGCTCATACAACTGTTATCGCAATCCATACACACATCAATTGTGTAAAGCGCATTTGTACATCATTCTCAAAACATTTTTCTCTCCACTTAAACCCCCGACATTAGGTCCTCATTTTCCCCTCCCTCCCCGCTTCCCCCTCCCTCATGAGCCCTTGACAGTTTATAAATTGGTATTTTGTTATATCTTGCCCTGTCCGACGTCTCCCTTCACCCACTTTTCGGTTGTCTGTCCCCCAGGGAGGAGGTCACATATAGTTCCTTGTAGTTGGTTCCCTCTTTCCTACCCACTCTCCCTTTACCCTCCCTGTTTCACCACTCACACCACTGGTCCTGTAGGGCTCATTCGCCCCAGATTCCCTGTATTTTCAGTTCCTATCTGTACCAGTGTACCTCCTCTGGTCTAGCCAGACTTGCAAGGTTGAATTCGAGTCATGGTAGTGGGAGCGGAAAGGAAACATTTAGGAACTAGAGGAAAGTTGTATTTCTCATCGTTGTTACATCGCACCCTGACTGGCTCGTCTCCTCCCCCGTGTCGTAGATTTCATAAAGGGATGTTCCTCTGTTTGCTTCTATCCCTCCTGCCCCCAATGCGGTAAGTTCCTGACCTAAAAGAGGTCGGGAGAAGGATGCCGGGTCCGAAGAGGGAAAATACGGTATGAAATTGCTATTGAACTGCCCGACATTGAGCTTGCCAATGGCCCTTCTCAGGTAATGACATAGTGTTTTGTTTTGTCTTTTTAATCCCTCAGCCAGGAGATTAGAGTCTTATCAGGAAACGGTCTCTGAAGAGGAGGATTTTGGAGGCAGCCCCAGTGGCTCACTAAGCAACCTGGGGAAACTGAGGACTGCCAGCTGCAGGACAGCTCATCACGGGTCTCTGGGAAGCAAACCATCCGCTCATCTTTCTGGAAGCTGTTTTGCTCTGGGAAATGGAGAAGGAGCTGGTGAAGTGCCTCACTCCAGACAGGCTGCTTTCAGCAGCCCCATTGTAAGTGTGAATGCATGCTGAATCGTGTACATCCACGGTGTCCATGCCAGAGCTGCCCCCTGATGAGCTAAAGTCCAATGCTGTTGTCTTTTCTACCTCAGAAGAGATGACCGAATTGATGTTTAGTGGGACTGCCACACATAATTAGAAGTTCAAACAAATAAAAGCACCGCTTCCAAATACTGGGACATAATTCAGTGTTGAGCTATAGCATGTAATTTCTGAATGAAAAAAAAAAAAATATATATATATATATATATGGTCAGGGCCAATCCTCTCTGAGCCTGAGGGAAGCTCATCAGAGGTCCCCTGTGGACAGGTAAACAGGTCTAGTTGATAGGGAAGGGCAGAGGTCTTTTGGAGCTCTCCAGGGTTTTGATACTTCTATCTAGTCTTCCTGCAAATCCCACCAAGCCTATGTCCTCCACCCCACTCCTAGCACTAAACGGGGCATTTTCATCTCCGAGCTCTACAGCATGTGTTTTTCAGGCCCAATGGGGTTTGTGTTGGGAACAAAACACCTGGTCCCTCCGCTTGGCAAGGGCACCTTATGGCCGAAAGAAAATAGGAGACCATCTGAAAAATGGGAAACAGGAAAGTCCTCGTGTGAATGGTTATCAATGTCAAGTTCTGCCGTCCTTCAAACTACTCTTCTAGCATCTCTTCCCCTCGCTCCCTTTCCCAATTCATGGATTGGTGTGTTTTACCAGCCAGGGCACTGGTAGCTGGTTGGTGGCCTCTGACTATGACGTGACTATGACAGGAATAAATCAGCCCTGGGCAGCCCTGGCGTACCCGATCGGATTGATGGTGTGATTTGACCAGTGGAGACATGGTCTGAGCGAACCCCAGACCTGTGATTGCTGGTCTGGAGGAGGTCCCGAGGGGGATCCCTGGGCTCTTTTCAAAGTTCCAACAAATGTGCAGGTTGCAGCAATGGAAGGGTCAGCCCAGCCCAAAGGCATTCACTCTTGTGGCACACGAGACGTAAAACCTATTATCCCTATCTCCCTGCCATTTACATGCATTCGTTTTAAACATTGAGACAGCGTGCTTCTCTGTCTTCGGAAGTAAGAGAGGAATGGGAGCAGACCAGCTGTGTTGCTCACGCTAAGGCTCGGCCTCCAGTGTGAGAGTTTTAGTTCTTTTCATCGGTTGCATCTGGCACTGTTGAGCTTCCACTCAACCTGATGGTAGCCTCCTGCTGACGCACAGGTGAGAGGCGTAGCCTGCCCTGTGCCGCACTTTCCCTGCCCTGCCCTGGTCCAGCTTTATCTCCTTCTTGAACGAGGCATCAAATGATGTGCTTCGATATAAGCCTTGGTTAGAAATAAACTCTCCTCCTGCCCTCTCTGCCCACGCTGTGCGTGGACCTGGCTGGTGAGATCATGGCCATTCAGGAGGTGAGAATGCTACCCTAAAAAAAACCAAAAAACCCCAAAACATGTGCCTCGTGGTTTCATAGGTCTGTGCCTTTGTTGTGTCGTTTCCTCTATCTAGGCTGTATTCTCCCCTCGCAGCCCACCTCTAAGCACTAAATCCGAGGCATTATTTATTTCTTTAAGAACTGCCTTCAATATCCCCTCTGTTGAAAGGACTTCCCAGACACTCCCTACTCCGGGGTTCTTCTTGACACGTTCTTCCCTCCGGTGGCTTTGTTTCTGCCTCGGACAGGGCACCAGTAGTCTCATGACTACGAGGGTGTATGTAGTCTGATGCACAACGTCCAGCACACTATCGGGCCCATCTACTCTCAATAACGTATACGTTGAGGTTGTTGAATGAAGTTGCTTAAAGCCCTCCGTGTCTCCATCCAACTTTTCCTTTGTGCTGTCCTGAAATGCCGTGCGTTCATTCTGGTTCTATGGATTCAATAGGGGTTTATGGTGATGTTGTATGTTTTCAAAGCTACACCCATTTATAGAGGGTCGGGGGCAGTGGGGGTGTTCATGCGGGACATTCTACCCTTCCATGTAGGAGACCTGGGTTCCATATATGCTCCATGTAGCTTATATGCAGTCACCCTCAGTGGAGGTTTGCATGTTGTTAGCATGTGGAACAGATTTCAGCAGGACTTTCAGACTAATTGAAAAACCAGCATCGGCGCCCCATCTGCCTGCCAGCAGCGTCAGTCTGGAGGAGCATGTAAATCCACACCTTGCAAGGCCAATTGCCACACGGCAGAGATCAGAGATGTCTCCACTCTCCATCTTCCTTTATTCTATACCAGCCGTTCTTCCCACAGGACTTGACTTCTCTTGAGAATCAGCTGTAATGACTCGCAAGCTGCTGTAATGTGATCCTACACACCACACAGCAAAACACTGCCCAGCCCTGTGCCACCCTCACAATTGTTTCTATGCTTTGAGCCCACTGTTGCAGCTACTGGGTCAATACAACTTGTTGATGGCCTTCCTCTTTTTTGCTGTCCCTCTCCTTTACCAAGCAGGATACCCTTTGCCAGGGACTTGTCTCTCTGGACAGTGTGTCCAAAGTAGGGGAGACAGAGTCTTGCCATCCTTGCCTCGAAGGAACACTCTAGCTGTAGTTCTTCCAGACAAAGTTGTCCTTTTGGCAGTCCACGGAACTTTCAATATTCTTTCTCGGCACCACCGTTCAAAATCATCAGTTCTTCTTCGTTCTTCCTTATTCAGTGTCAACTTTCACATGCGTATGAGGCAATGGAAAACATCACGGCTTGGGTCAGGTGCACCTTAATCCTCAAAGTAACGTTCTTGCTCTTCAATACTCTAAAGAGATCTTATGCAGCAAGACAAAGCTTCCAGCATCACAGCAACACACAGGCCACCGCAGTATGGCCAACTGGCAGACGAGTGATGGGCCATCCGATGAGCAGCTATGAAATCCATCCAGTGAGACAAGATTCAAATGCTGCCAGGTCAAATATCATGGGGCAGTAGAAGAAATTGATGTATTTCAACAGAATGACCATAGGTAACTTGAACCTTTTAACCAGATGTTACCGTTGTACATCTGGTAACAGGCTGGAAGGTGAGAATGCTACTTGAGAAGTTATGAAGTCTGGGAAAGAAACATTAAATTATTTGTGTGGTTGCTGCCTGATCTCATCTTGTTCAGCATCTCATGTGTTTTCTACAGCCATCCTGCCAACGTAAGTTTTACGACTATGTGGAGGGAGAAGAGGAAACTCAGTTGGTTAAGTCAGTGGTCTGAGGTCGGTTGCCAAGTGATCCACAGTGATGTTAGGACTTGGCCCCACGCCCATGTAAATTTTAGCACATGATCTTTGCTTATTAAGCTTTTGTTTCCATCCACCAAACTCCTAAATGCAAAATACAAGGCCACCGGCTATAGATCTTAATTTCCCCCTCCATAAACTCCCCCAGCTTTCCTGAAACCAATGAAGGTTGCAGGCCCCTCACATCCAGGAGTCCACTAAAATCAAACCGTGCTATTGTAGAAACCTGGTGCCGAGCTGCTTACCCTTCTATTGACTGGGGTGGAAATTTTCTAAAGCCATTGCTGATTCTCGGTTGCTAGATTAAGAGCAGACTTGCACTACAATGTTCTTTTGTTGAAACTGAAGAAAACAACAACTCTCTGTCGTTGTGTCAGCAGTCCCGACTTGTAGCGACGTCGAGGACAGAGTAGAGTTACTTCTGCAGATCTCCAAGGCCTGATGGAGGCGAAAGCTCCGCCTTTTTCTAATTCTCTCAGAAGAGGGTGGGAAGCATGTGCGCTAAACTAGTGGAGCAGTTTGGGGTTGTTTGTTTCTGTGTCATCACAGAACACTTTAGGGCCAATTTGCACGAAGAATCTTTCAGAGGCCAGTGCAGGCCTCGTTGCCACATGTATTTGATCATCAGAAATCTCTTTTGAAAGAATGTGTGTTGTAATGTCTTGTAGGGTATTGCTGGGAAAATTCAATCTGTTACCCAATTTTTATTTGAGGGCATTGAGTTCTATAATAATGAAAAATTAAGAGACCAACGATTTGGTTCCAATAATATGGGCTATAAAGAATGTTATCATGCTAATGTGAGCTGGCATTCCTCAATTGCTGTTGACTCTTCTATGGGCAAGGTAGGCTGCTGGGCACACTAAGATCGTTCTCTGACATTGTATGCCTCTGACATTGACATTGACAAAAAGAAAAAGACCCACATACAACTAGACTTTAGGGTAAGGTACTGCTCCTAGCTCCCGTTTCGTTTGAGGATAATAGTCAAGTTAGCCTTCATTAAGGTGGCTAATTATATTTTCTGGGTTTCCCACTTTATATTATATATTTCTTATTTCTCTATCCTCACTTCCTCTGACGCTATTTACCTGATTATTAATTTTTTATGAAACATGAGGTATACCGTCTCATGTTTCATAGATTCTAATGATAAAAGCTACTTCTCAGAGCGATTAAAAATTCTGAATTTTAAATCCTGAGACTGACACCATTTTATTGGACCTTCAGGAAACAGATGTGGTACCAGACACCAGGCTTGTAGACAAGTTTCGTCAGATCACGCCACACTTTTCCCACCAGCCAGATGCGCCTGCCCACAGTCCATCCTGGGAGACTTTGTGCATCATGGACTTCTTCATTGCATTGGCCATTTGCAACACAGTGGTGGTTTCTGCGCCTAACCAGCCACGACAAAAGGTAACATCTCTAAAGGAAACAAGGAATGGCTTCCATATGGAAACTTCAGGCTTAAAAGTACCTGTATGAGCCTTGCTATAGGGAATAATAATAAAATAATAGCAACAAATGTTTACTCATCATTTATGATAACGTTCTAAAGGCCTTACCTAGACTAGCATCTTCTATCCTCTGAACAATCCTGTGGGTTAAATTCTGAAGAAATGCCATGGAAGTCATGTCTGAGCTCCTCCAGCTACATGAGGAAACCCAACCCCATAGCAGCCCAAGCCGGTTGCCGATAGGGGGAGGTCAAACATGCCTCCCCTTCAACTTCTCTTTCCCCTCTTATGACATCCAGCATCCTTCCCTTCGCACTCTCTTTCTTTGGTTGGTTCCATCATTCGTTTCAGTGGCCACATAGAATTCACACAAAGCACTCACAAGTATGGGGGTCTTTTAGGGAAGTTAACAGGTGTCAAGCGAGGATCAGAAAACAGTCTCAGTGCTTCCGTTCAGCCACATGGTCCTTGGCCTCTGTCCTGCTCAAGCAAGTGTTATAAATCTCATGTGGCACCAATAAATGTCCCGAGGAAACTCTGCAAGCCAGTCTCCTACATAAAGGGACTCAGGTTCACGCAGTCCCTGCACTAGCTCTGTCTCAGGTTGTTGCTACTGGTGCTTCACCCTGTAGTAATTCACTCTCAGGGCTCTTTAGTCTTGGCAGTCATAATATTCTCTCTTCTTGCTTCTGAGGTGGCTCACTTTATACCCAGCAGACTGACAAAACTGACCAACCCCCTCACGTTAGTCCCATACACCCTATTTGCATGCTCTCACCCAGTCATTTGGTGGGAATTACATAGACTATGGATAGCAGGGCTTACCAAGTAATTTTATTTTACATCACCAACACAGAGCAGGTTGTGCGTCTTGCCCGTTGTCACATTACTAGTTTCTTGAACTTAAGGAAGTGAAACCTGAACTCAGGAAGTCTGGTTCAGAGCTAGCATACTATTTTGCCTCTGTAAGGAGAGTTGGTGAAAGTAGACTCATAGAATGCAGCTTTGTTCATTTTACTTTCGTTTTCATACCGAATTGGAGATTTCTTTGTGGCCTCTGAGTTCAACAACATTGTACTCTCTATCAAGCAAAAGGTAATGTGCGGCTTTCTTTTAGGCAATTCATCATATAACAGTTAGGTTTGTTTTCACCCAATCAATTCGGAATGCAGTATACCTGTAATCTTACCAAGTTCTGCAGTTCCCACAAAAGCTAGCTTTGCAAAGCATATTTGTAACTTTGCATTCATAGGAAATTCATTTCTAATTAAGAATAAAAACTTGCTTTAGAGACTGATGACTTACTGCTTGCCATGATAGCTTCCTCATGTATAAATATCTGACCCTTTGCACATATACACTTAAAATTCAGTTTGCAGCACAACCCAATTAAGTTTTAATTTTCCGTGAGATCATTTTCCTTTGGCAACTTCAAAGGTGGTCAACTTTAGCACAAAAATGCATCGCTTCCAATTAAGCTTCATTTAATGGGAAATTGTAATTTTAGAATGATTCTAACTATAAAGTTGCTCTTTGAAAAGTGATTAAAGTTGGTCCTCTGTATCCATGGCTTCAACATCCATGGGTTCAGCCAACCATGAATTGAAAATATACTGGCAGGGTTGGGGAGCCTGGAGGAGAGGAATGTGCAGGGGCACCTAAAAAACCAGTTAAAGGGTCAATATAATCTTTCATATACTAAGAAGAAGCTTAAAACATTATCTACACAGCATTTACATTGTGTTCACCCACTCACTCATTGCCATAATGTAGATTCTGACTCATAGGGACCGTGTAGGACAGAGTAGAAAGCTTCATCCTTCTGCCAAGGAGCAGCTAGCGGTTTTGAGCTGCTGACCTTTTGGTTAGCAACCCAATGTGTAACCCATTACACCACTAGGGCCCCTTGTGCATTGTATTAAATATTATAAATAGCCCAGAGGTGATATAAAGTATAAGGAGGATGTGAGTAAGTTATTAAAGCACAAAATCATTTCATTTGAGGGCTCGAGCAGTTTGAGAGTTTGGTGCTTGCAGGAGGTCCGGGACCCACCCTGAGGACACCCAGGGACAGATGGATACGTAAAGAACAACTGACTAGTCAACCTCCCCCACCTCTCCACATAACCTTCATTCCCATACCTTCCTCTCCAGAGGATGCATCTTTTGGTGTCTTTTGTTTAAGGAATGGTGTTTCCTTGGCTGCAGTGCGATTTCTATTGTCTGAACGAAAATCTGTACAGGCATATGAAAGTAAGCTTTGTGACATTTCAAAATACTGATAGGATGATAGTGAGTCAGCAGCCGATCAGAATTCACATGGAATGCAGAAAGCTCACCTGAAATTGCATCTCACCCATCTTTTCCGAGATGGAAATAAATCTGAAAATCCATCAGCATGGATCCTTCAAAATAATGCTCAGTATAAAATTACTTCTAAGAGAACACTATTTGTAATTCCTTGGACAGTTTTGCGTGGGAATTTTTAGGATGAAGTTAATGATTCTTTGACAATTAGTATTAAATCTTAAGTATTATCACTAATAAAAGTTACCATTTAGAAAAAATCGTGTTATGAACAAGAAAAAGTTTGATAAAGATAGAAATTTACATTCACATTTTGACATCCATAACTCTTCTTCTCTGAGCTACATTGGCTTATTGGTCTTCTTTTTTAAAAAAAGCGCAATCTTATGTAGAAGGCAGGCAATAAAAGGGGAAATATATCTTGTTAGCCATGTCATTTACTGTCTGCTCATTTTATCTCATAGAATCTTTTTACTTATTTGTTCTTTTTTGCCTGTTTAAGATCTTTAATGCAAGATTCATTTACTGGACAACTAGCACAATCTGTGATGGTAAACCATCAATGTATATCCTATGCAAATAACATGCTACTTTGACACTTTAAGTTTCAAGAAGTTATAGAATATGGAGATAAAGAAGCAGTATGAAGAATATATATTCTTAAGTATCATAAAAATAATCATTTCAAGATTACTTTAGTGATTTTTTTTGGTCTATTTAATCCTTGTAAAATACATGTTTCTCTCCTGTCCAGGATTCATTTACACAAAAGTGGAGCAGATATTAGATGTAAAATCACAGAACTAATTTTATATCATAAGAGCAATAACTCTTACTGTGGACAATAGTTAGGTGTGAATGATACATATAAAATTGTACCATTGCTTTTGTCCTGATGATGTCTTCTTAGTCTACATGCATGTTTTTCTTGATGGACCTCTTAGGGTCGGTGTGAAGGTCTATTCTTATTCTCAGACATGAAGGTGCATAAATCTAGAGTGACAAACGGGCACCTGTTCACAGGATACTGCCTCACAGCTATGTACTCTAATTAGTCAAGGCCATTTAAATACATTTGCATGAGGCACCTAAAGCTCAATGTGCCATTTTGTGTGTTTATCAAATTACTAATCAATACTATTTTCATAGCTTTTTCAATATTGCCCCATAGTCTTCCTAAACTTTATTTTACAATATATAATATTGGTAAACATCATGCAACATTCAGAAATTCACAAAACCTGTCATGGTATGGATGATCCAGAGGCCATTATGTTGAGCACAGCAAATCAATCACAAAGGTCCAATATTATGAGTCTATGTGATAAAGCACTAAGGAAGGGGTTGCTATCACTTTACCCCCTAAACATTTGATGAAATTTATAATACCATTGCCATTATCAAATCTTTTTTAAAAAGTTTCTTTTATTTTTGTAACATTTTTTGTGAACATTATAATTCATTTGTGACCTCACTTTTTCCCCGTTTAACTTTAAAGTTGTTAGAAGCTGTTTTGTGTCATCCTTTTGAGACTTTCTGAATCCTCTCTCCTAGATAGGACTCTCATCACTGAGTGGAATGCCCATCAAGTCCTTGGACGAGATTAAAAACCTCTTCCAGCGATTGTCTGTCCGAAGATCAAGTTCGCCGTCTCTCACCAGTGCGAAAGAATCATCTTCTGTCATCCCAAATACCTTTGTGAACAGAGTCTCTTTCTTTGGTCGAATGAAACTGGCATCGCCTGTGGAGGAAGAGGGCTCCCAGATGAGCGAGAGTCCCCCGGGTGCTAGTCACTCAGCTTGCCTTGAAGAAACGGAGAAAGAAACCAGTGGCGCAGGCGTCACCAAAGGCAAGGTGGACTCCCTTCCTGGACATCCGTTGGCCTTGGGCCTGTGCTATGAGGCCGAGAGCCCAGACGAAGCGGCCTTGGTGTATGCTGCCAGAGCTTACCAATGCACTTTACAGTCCAGGACTCCAGAGCAAGTCGTGGTGGACTTTGCTGCTTCGGGGCCATTGACATTTCAACTCCTCCATATCCTGCCCTTTGACTCAGTAAGGAAAAGAATGTCTGTTGTGGTCCGGGACCCCCTTTCCAACCAGGTTGTGGTTTATACGAAGGGTGCCGATTCTGTAATTATGGAGTTACTCTCTGTGGCCACCCCAGGTAGGTACACTCAGAGCGTAGGTGGCAGGAATGTAAAGGGCTCGGAGAAGAAAAGGCAAAGCATTTGGGGACCAATTCATGATAGCTGCAGAAATACTGGTGGCAAAGCACGTAAACTTTGGGGATGTCCAGAGTGGGGTTCAAATCTGGTCCCTTTCATTAGTTGAGTCTTAATGAAGTTACCTAACTGTTTTGTGCCGGCCTCCTTTTCTGTAAAGTGGAGGTTTTATTACCTCTTTCATAGGTTCGTGGGCACTTTACATGAGAGATTTCAATGGAAGGTGTGTTGAGTCTTTGACTAACTGCCTAGCAAACAGTAAGTGCTCAGTCAATGAGAGCAAGAATTACTTTTGTTGTTAATCTTCTTATGGGCGGTGTGGAAACTGGGTGTGTATTAAGTTCTGGGTGACTTTCTCTTGACAAGAAGAACCCAGTAAGGAAAAGATTATTCTGAGGGGTGGAGGGAAGCTGTCACTTTTACAGGGGCATATTTGTGGCACAAATCTAAAAGCTTTTTTGTTTGTTGTGGTTTCAATGACTATTGCTTTTGAAGTTACTTCTGTAAGAGGACAGATTGCTGGGGATACTTGTGTGTCCTTCCTTGTTTCAGATGGGGCCAGTTTGGACAAGCACCAGAGGACAGTAAGAGAGAAAACCCAGCAACACTTGGATGACTATGCCAAACGAGGCCTCCGCACTTTATGTATAGCTAAGAAGGTGAGGACACCGAGCTCGCCATCTTTCGGTTCTTTCACATGTTCGGCCATGATCCAGCGTTCTCCTGGATATATCAAGGGGGGTATATCCAGCCCTCCCTGGGCCCTGGGAACGTCCTCTGTTTGACAACTTACGCATGTTGGGAGTGGGGGAGTTTGTCTTCTTCAAAATGTGTGGGCCAGAGGGTGAAAAAGGATTCTAGTCTCCGAGTTCTTGTATGATTCGATTCTGCTCGTGCTTTTATATGTGAGCAGCAGTTTGGCTTGGAACAACAATTCCTCGATCCTACTCTCTTAGACAGAGCTAGAGGAATAGCGGTCGTCTATCTCATAGCATTCAATGTACTCTGGAAATGTGAAATCAGACTGGTTTGGAAAAGATCTTGATTTATTTTTGCTAGGTGCCCATGAGAGTCCTTGCCTGTGAATCCAGGTAAAAGTACTATAATAGTATCTCAGTACTGATTATGCTCTATTGCCTTTCCTAAGGACACAGTATGTTCTTTGTCCCATTTATGTAATAAAAAGGAGATAGTTTGTAATGGCATCATCATTATTATTAGTATTATTAGTATGAAGGGATGATATTCTAGAAATTGCATGCTAAAAATTTTAAGACCAAGGTTCTATTCATTAGAAATACCTTCTCCCACCCACCCCCCAAAAGTATAAATAACGACACAGTACACATGGACCTTACCAGATGGAATAGACAAGAATCAAATCCACTACATCTGTAGAAACAGGTAATACAGAGTCACACTGTGTCACAGCATTATCAAGGGTAGGGGCTGACTGCAGTGTAGACCATCAATTTCTAATATTCAAGCCCAGTTTGAAGCTAAAGAAAATGAAAACAAGTCCATGGGAGCCACAATTCAGACTTGGGTAGACCCCACTTGAATTTGGAGAACATTTCAAGAATAGAATGGATTCATATATATCAGTAACCAAAGGCCAGCAGACTTGTAGGGGGATATCAAGGACATCATAATGAAGAAAGTAAAAACATTCAAAAAGGAAAGAACGAAAGAAAAGACCAAAGTGAATGTCAGATGAGACTCAGCAACTTGCTCTAGAACATAGAGTAGCTAAAGTGAAAGGAAGGAAGGATGGAGTCAACGAGCTTAACAGAAGAGTTCAATGTCAGCCCTAGAAGACAGAGTATGACCGTGAGATGTGCAAAGGCCTGGACTTAGAGAACACAAAACAAATAGCAATCTTGGCATTTCTCCAAGAAATAAACAGGGTGGGGGGGCGGATCAACCCTCAAGGCAGTATTGAAGGAATCAATGGGGAAAATATTGAACAATGCATAAAGTATGAAAAGAAGATAGAATATTCAAAGTTAACGTACCAAAAAGAATTGATCATTGTGCAGCCATTTTAAGCGATAGCATGTGATCAAGAGCTGATGGTAACAAAGAAAGAAGTCCCAGCTGCACTGGAGGTCTGAGGGAAAAACAAGTCTCTGGGAACTGACAGAATACCAGTTGACGTGTCATGCAATCAAGTTCCCACTCATCTATGTCAAGAAAATTGTAAATTGCAAAACCATCTGACCAACCGACTGGAAAGTCAAAAAGGCTCACGGACATGGAGTCAATTCCAACTCATAGTGACCCTCTAGGACAGGGTAGACCTGTCCAAGACTGTGCCTCTTTATGAGCGTAAAGATTGTCTTTCTCCTGAGTGAAACCCACTACACCACCAGGGCCCTCACTGACTGGAAGAGATACATACTCATGCTCATTCCAAAGAAAGATGGTCCCACAGGATATAGAAATTATCGAACACTATCAATAATACCACATGCACATACGATTTTGCTGAAGATAACTATAAAACAGTTGTAGCAGTACCCTGAATGGGAACTGCCAGAAATTCAAGCTGAGAGTATGGAACAAGAGATATCATGAAAGCAGAGAATGCTACAAAGATATTTACCTGTATTTAGATATATAAAGGCATCCAACTGTGTAGACTATGACAATTTAGAGATGACATTGCAAAGAATGGGAATCCCAGAAGACTCAGTTGTGCTAAGGTGGAATCTGTACATACACCATAGGCAGTTGTTCACACAGAACAAGGTGATATTTAATGTACAACACCTGGTGGAGTTTGATCAAATGCAATGTAGCAGAGAGGAATTACTGAGAGCCAAAAAAATATCAACCGTGATAGTGGGACAGGAGGAAAGTAAAAGGAAATAGAGGAAAGAACTAGGAGGCAAAAGACATTTATAGAGGTATAAATATAGGCATGTATATATGTAAATATATTAATATATAATGATAGGGGTATGGGTCAATTTACATATATTTACATATTAAGTATCAAGGTAACAGACAGACATTGGGCCTCTACTCACGTCCTCCCTCAACCCAAGAACACTTTGTTCTAATGATCTGGCATTCTGTGATGCGTACCTTACCGACAGATGAAGGCAAAATGGGTGCGTAAGCAAATGTGAAGAAAACGGATGGTGCCCGGCTATTACAAGATATAGTGCCTGGGCTTGAAGTCATCTAGCAGGGAAACAACAAAGCCCACATGGAAGAAGCACACCAGCTTGTGTGAACAGGAGGTGTTGACGTGATCAGGTATAATGGATCAGAAGACCCAAGATAAACCAATCATATCCATGCATGAAATGGAGATCCAAAGCCCATCTGTAGAAAATTGGACATCCCTTCACAGAAGTGTCACAAGGAAGGGATGAGTCAGTCAAGGTGCAGTATAGCACTGGCAAAACACACAAAATTCCTTTAGTTCTTTAATGCTCCCCCCCCCCACTATCATGACCCCAGTTCAACCTTACAAATCTGGCTAGACTGAAGCATGTACACTGGTTCAGATAAGAGCTTTCAACACGCGGAATCCAGGACAGATAAATCCCTCAGGAACAATAATGGGAGTAGTGATACCATGAGGGTAGGGGGAAAGCAGAGGGACAAGGGGGAGAAAGGGGGAACTGGTCACAATGATTGACAGATAACACCCCCCCCCTCCAGCCAGGGGATGAACAACAGAAACATGGGTGAAGGGAGACAGTGGATAGTGTAAGATAAGAATATAATAATAATTTATAATTTATCAGGCATTCACGAGGGTGGGAGGGTGGGAAAAAGAGGGAGCTGATACCAAGGACTCAATTATACAGAAAATGTTTTGAAAACGATGATGGCAACATATGTACAAATGTGTTTGACACACTGGATGCATGGATTGTTATAAGAGCTGTAAGAGCCCCCAATAAAATGATTTCTGAAAATAAAATTAAGGGAGATTGCGTAAGGATTGTTTCCTTTCACCATCCTTAATCTGTGTGCTGAGCAAATAACCCAGGAAGCTGGATTGTAAGAAGCAAGCAAGAGCAGGCTTTCACCATGCTCCCTGCCTTGTCCATTGCATGAGCTCCTGGGCTATAGGGTCCATCTGCCAACTTAACAAAGTCTGATAGTGTGCCCAGATGGTGTAAGGAACTGAACCGAGCATGAGTGTTTCCAGAGCAAGACCTAAAGAAAGTTGAGGACTTGCTAGACTGTCGTGGATCCTCTGGGAAGACCCTCCGAGACCGCGCAACTGTTTCCAGGGCCTTCTTTATTCTTTCTTCCGTAGGTGCTGAGTGACGCCGACTATGCCGAGTGGCTGAAGAACCACTTTCTAGCTGAAACCAGCATTGACAACAGGGAACAGTTATTATTTGAATCTGCAATGAGGTTGGAGAACGAACTCACGTTACTCGGTAAGTAGACCACGCCACATTCTTTAGATGGAGGATTGTGAAAAATCATTGGCCGTCTCTAAATAAGTTATTCCCCAGTGCCTTAAAAAACAATAGTTCTCATATGTGGTTCTGCCTCCCCTCCCCCCAGTCTAGTGTCTAGGCAGTGTCCAGGGCCACCCATCCTTATGCCACTTCGTGATCTAGACGTTCTTGGTGGTGGTGTCATGAATTTGCCAAAAATTCATATAGAGTCCAAAGCCAAATAAATATTCAGGTTCAAGAGAAGGCTACGGCTCTTGCCAGGCATTGGATAAGGTACTTAGCATGCATTGCCCTTTGCAATCTTCCCAGCAAGTCTTACCCAAGTTAGGGTACAGAATGGATGAGTAACTTGTTCGGTTCAAATCTCCTGCTAAAAACTGAGCGTTAGGTCTGTTGACTCCAACGTCCGTGCTCTTTATTCTGCACCTGGCACTGGACTGGGGAAGTTGATTTCCCGCTCATCTCTGGTTGCTTACAGTGAAGGGGTCCACACATGGCACCTCTTCCCTTGGCCGAGCATTGGAATCATCTGGAGACCTTTTAATCATCTGGTGCTGTCCTCAGAGGTTTAATGTGTTTAGTGTGGGGTATCGCCTGGGCCCCAGACTTTTCGAAAATTCCTTCTGTAAGCCCACAGGCTTCACAAGGCAGAGAGCCATGCCTTCGAGTCAGGAGAACTAGGCTCTGCTGTAAGTACGATCACAGTCCATTCCTCTTTTGGAAGAAAAACAATTGTCTGACTTTTTGTTGTTGTTGCTAGATACCATTGGGTCGATTCTGACCCACAGTGACCCTATGCAGAACAGAAGAGAAGGACACGGGACCGGTCCTGCGGCATTCTCACAATTGTCCCTATGCCTGAGCTAATTGTTGCAGCAGTATCTAGCACATCAATACAATGGTACCTCAGTATACCAAACTCCATGTATGCTCAAGTTGCTATAAAATGACAAGAGTATTTGCCTGTAACTCACTCACATCCTCCGTATACTTTCAATCATTTCTAGAATATTTGTAATACCTAAATGCAATGTCAGTGCCTTACAAATAGCACTTTACGCTAGCTTCTCAACCTTTGAAGAATTGGTTGCCCATTTAATGACTTTTTATTGAATATGTTCAAGCCATGGTTTGGGGACATGATATACAAGCCTGGTTGTAGCGATGTTTACTGCTGGTTAACGGAGCCATGACAGTGTAAGTATTAGGGGGTCTACGTTTCCTTATCTTCAATTCCAAAAGAAGAAAGGCTCTTATGGGTTTAGTGCCAGGCTTGTTTGGCAGCAAAGTCAAGCCTGATAAAGACCCG